TTTTCATGAACCCATGCTGGCTGGGCCTGATCCCCTGATTGTTCTGCAACTTGGGGAACATCTTGCAAGGAAAGTGGCTGGCTTTTCTTGACACTGCATATCTCTTGGATTTTCTGTATCAAGGGCTGGCACCCCTATTACTTGCTCACTTGCAGAGTTGTTGACTGAGTCAGGGTTCAATTACTGAAGAACCCAGTTGTTTCAGCAAAACCTTTATGACAAATCAAACTTGCTCTTTTACTATTCTTATTCTTTTTGCCTTGTTTCTAGCTGCTTGTGTATTTGGACTATGCCTTTTTTTCTGTATAGTCAGAATCATAGAATCATTGAGGTTCGAGAAGACCCTTAGTACTCATCAGGGGTGTGTAGAAGGTATAGTACATTCCAAGCAACATTGGATGTGGATGTGAAAAACAGTATTAATTGAATTGCATCAAAATTACTTCATGATCCTGGTTTAAACTTTACTGCAGAAGAGCTTTTAGCTGAGATCAACTGTGTTTCCTTTGGAGATTTGCTGTCATAGCTCTACCTATGTAGATGTGCTGATAGATTCTTTAAGGTAAACAAATAACTGTTATGGCCTGTCCAGCTATTTGGTGTAATGTTTTTGCTTAAATGTTTTACAGAATATGAGCTTGCAGCTTCCAGGAAATACTGCTCTTTAATCAGGTGCTCCAGCTTTAAGAAACGAAGTAGATCTCAAAGATACAAGACAGGTGGGTTGAAAAAGTGACTTGGAGAAGGCATCTCTGAAGTGCATAATTTTGCTGAGCTCATAGCTGAATGCAATTAGATTTAATGGACTAGGAGTAAAGAACTAGATTTATTTCCTTTAGTTTTCTAACTGGTTTGAAGTGTCTTAGTCCAGTTCTGCTTGGATTGAGGTTGTTTTCCTAAAGCTCACCTGCACAACTAAAAGATAATTAATTTTAAATTCAGGTAAGAAAATAACTTCTTTCATACATAGTCTGATTTGGAGCGGGGGAGGGGGAGCACTTTGCGACTACAGTACCAATTCTTCCCTTTCTTCACTATATCAATGACTGTTTTGGTATATTTTCATTCCTATCACAATAGTATCTAGGATGTGAATTTACAGGAATTTGTGGCTTAAATTGGCAGCCTTAGGAGAAAGTTGGGTTCCTCACCCTTTTTTTTTATTTAGCCTTTAAAAGGTACATATGGTTTTGGAGTGGGATGTTCCAAAATAAGAAGCTTTAAAGTATCTGACATGAGTCACTGATGGACCACCCCAGCATAGCCTCTTGTCTAGCATTTTCTTCAAATCAGCAGTTTTTGCATTTATCATAGACATCGGTGATGGCTCATTTGTGAGATACTCTTGAAGATCTCTTGTGGTTGCCTGGTCTGTTATTTGCAGTAAGTTTTAATTACCTTGCCTAGAAAAAATGTGTTTAATGTGCTGGTTTTGATTTGTTTCCATTTTAGATGGGAAAGAGGGAACTTCCAGTCCATCATTAGAAAGTACAAGTAGCGAGCTAAGCACCAGTACCTCAGGTATTAAGCCACAAAAGTGGTACTTCTTTGTCTTGTCAATGTGCATGATGAAGTATTTGCTTGACTAGTTAATGTGAATTACTGCTCTATGCAGGACAGAATTAGAACTTTTCACTTCTCAGAGCTCCCATTTTTGGCTGACTCTTCTCTAATTAGAATGCTGTATCTATATCTGCTGGAATAAGAAAATTAGATTTTTCTTGATGTTTTTGGCTTTCAGGAAACCGCATGCAATGCAGTGATGTGCAAACTGTCAAAAAAGCTAGCAGACTGGTAGTCATATAACCTAAAACATGCTTAGGCAAGCTAAATTGATTTAATAGATCCAATACTTAAGACTTCTCTCTTTATCCGTATTGAACCCGTGCCCTAGTGTTGCATCTACATTATGTAGCTGCTAACAGTGTTACATTTGTATGAGATCCAAACTGAAAGTTCTGACCAAATAGTGAAATATTACAAGAATTTTTAACAAGATGTTTATGTTGACCTCTTTACCCTAAAACTTCCTTGTGACTCTGCCTCTATATTTTTGTATTAAATATGTGAAGTATTGTTATCTGACAGTTGGCTGTTACTGGTGAAATGTTTTTCCCATAATAGTATACTGATTAATTCTGTTGTCTTGCAGAGGGAAGTACCAGTAATGTGTCTGGCTCGAGTGATTTGGAAAGCAGGGTGAGACCACATCAGCAAAACCCCCTCATTCCTATGATGCTTTCCCCACCAGAATCGCTGTTAGTTTCTTGTGTTTTGAGGGGAAACTTCGTAGAAGCCCATCAGGTAAATGAGTTGCATGTATTTTGTGCAATTAAAAATCTAATTTGGTATTGACGTTTGTGGTTGTGACAGCTGATGAAACTCTTGCCTCTTCTGCATTAGCAAGCATAGGGCTGAAGCATCTGCATTCCAAGTGAAAGGGTCACTTCAGAAGTAGAAGCAAGTGAAAGGAACAAAGATATTCCAAACCAACATCCCAAGGATGCCGGGGTGTTTTTAACTTGTTATATAAAACTGCGTTCTCTAAACCTGGGTTCTTGAAGTGTGAAAATGTTTGATGAGAGCTGGCCAAGCTTAAGTGTTTCAGCTGAACGAAGAACACAAAGCGCTCCTGTGAAGCCTCATGAGGAAGCAGCATCTGAACTGCTTACTTTAGTCAGTGAATCAAAACCATGACACTGCCACTTGTAAGCTTGGCAGGAACATGCAAATGTATTCCTTAGCCAAAGTGGTGATTACGTTTATTTGAAGGAGGTGTGTTTTGAGGCTACATTCATGGTACTAAAAACAGGCAGAAAGGCTTGAAATTGGGAGTCTGCACACTTGTAGTCCTTTACTCCCTCACAGCTGTGCATACCTTTCTCTATGTGGCTTTTGGGCTGTTGCTCTGAAAAAACATCTTGAGGTGCATCAGTGATTGAATCCTCTGCAAAAAGCAGTGACCTGGTTGAGTTTCAGATAGCGATACCGGAGCAGGTAATGTCATTTAAGCATTGCATTAGCAGCAGGTTACTGCTCAACTCAGTAGTTCTGTTTGAAGCATGCCACTTCATCTTTTGCCTAGTTATAGGGCCAGAAGAAGCATTTTGGTTTGCTTTGTTACTTTGACTTTCAGTATCACCGATGATGAAGAATTCAAGCTCGGTGTGTGTTCTGTTGTTGGTTTGATAATAGGAACTTGCACAGCTATGCTTATCTACTCTCTGTTTAAATTCCTAGAAGGTATTCCTTGCTGAATAAGGATCTTTTTAAAATAGTTTACTTTGGAGGCCCAGCTTGATAGGTTTCACTCAATACACGATTACATAGTGTATTGAAATCATGAAGAGTCATTCTGAAAGGTGTGGTTTACAAAAAATAGTTCAACTCTAACCTTGCAGAAAATAATAGCTGAGCTTTGTAAAAATAGTTGCAAAATGTCTCTGAGGTCCTGTTTTTCAGGCACTTAAAACTCTCTAGGAAAAAACCCACCATTTCAGCCTGCTGTGTCTGTGGGGAAGTTTTTCAGTTAAAGTATCTGTTTTATCTTATACCCTCATCTCCTCTAAAACCCCCCAAAGCTCTTTGACCTTTAAACCTTCTTTTGCAATGCTCTATAATTACATCTCTTGTTATGTTATTTGAAAGGTGGCTTTGATGTTTAATCTGGATACTTCACCTTGCTATGGTGAACTGGTTTTCATGGAGCGCTACCAAGAGGCGGTACGAGAAATGGCAAGAGTGGAGCACAATATTGAGAATCAAGCATCAGATGGCGCTGGAGGCATCAGGAAATCTGGCAGTGGCCGTTCGACACTGCAAGCTATTGGGAATGCCGCAGCAGCTGGTAGGGACAGGGTTTTTGAGCTCTTCTCATCAAAGGTGAGGGAGGAGTGGAAAACAGGAGAAAGCAATTTGAACACTGTCATAATGAGTGCAACAATTGTTCAGAAGAGTAACTGGTGGTTCTTTGACTTAAAAAGAGGCTAAAGAATGCTGAAATTTGCTGTTGATGCCTAATTGGTTTTATCCATTCTGCAGTGAAGAATGGTTAACTGGTTTTATCCATTCTCCATTCATGAAGCAGGCCACCTATTAAATTATTTTCCTAAAGGATTAGAAAATAATTATCCATGACAGGATCTGAGAAAAAGATACTGTTTAATTAGAGATTTTGTGTTTTGCTGATGCATGTAGGAATGGTATTTTATTCCATCTCGGATGTGACTGATAAATTGCTTGCGACTTCTGGAAGTCTTGCCCCTACTCTCCAAGAAAACTTCTGGATCAGCAACATCCAGCTGGAGCATACTGATCCTCTGCGGGAAGTCCTTGAGGACCTTAGTCCTTCAGCAATGGCAGCATTTGACCTAGCTTGTACTCAGTGCCATCTTTGGAAGACATGCAAACAGCTTTTGGAAACAGCAGAAAGACGACTGCACAACAGCCTTGAAAGTCGGGGTAGGCTTTTAATTTTTGTGTTTATCAACATGGGCCTGGGAGCAGAAAATGGCTCTCTATGCAGTGTTGTTTGTGCTAACACCTGAGTCTTAATTAAGTCTCATTTTGTACTTTTGATGTTAGTTTCTCCTTTTTCCACTCTTAACTTTTATTTTGTCCCACTTTGCACAATGACTTTTCCAGGCCACCGACCTGACTTTGTTTTACTGCACTCTGAAGGTGTAAAGGGTTTCCCAGCAGTTCTCCAGCAAATAAGTAAAATTCTCAACTATTCCTGCACATCACAAGCGCAATCCAAGCCAGGTAGTATGCTTTACTGGTAAGATTTTTCTGTTGAAATATGCTAAAATCAAATTCTTGCCTTCTGTTGCAATGGAAACCCGAACTTTCCATTTTTTAGCGTAGTATTTAAAAGAAAAAGGGTGGGGGGGAGCACCTAAGCTCAATTCTGAATAAACTGAAACACTTTGAATTTGGCAAACTAGTTGTATTATAATACAATTTTGGTTCTGTGGGCCTTTTTCTGTCCAAAAATATTTGTGTCTTTGTTATAGTTGCTGTTTCTTTCTCCCTCTTTGTAGAGGTCTCAGATGAGAAAACAGGGAGTCATTTTCGATGCAGTATTGTAGACCTTCTGCAAGCTTGCTACCCTGCCTTGACTGAAGAAAGTATTACTAATGAAATTGTTTTGTCACAAAATCTGGATCAAATCCTAAAAGCACTGACATGTGTTGAACATTCTGTGGGTGAGTTATTTTTGTGATCGTGAAGACTGACAAATGGATCTAAATTTTTGTTTTGGCCTGTTCGGACAACTATAAATCTAGTAGTAATGCTCTTTGACATATGCATAAATGTGTATTTTTTTTAAATCATAAATGCAAAGTGTAAAATTTATCTGTGATTCTTATATTCTGAGCATTTGTTTTCAGAGCTAAAATTATGAACTTGCCAGAGAAGAAAGGAAAATATCAATGAGTACAACTGAGATGGTTATTTGTCCTGTTTTTCTTCAGTCCTAACAAGGAATACTTTATGTGTATTTTAACCTGACAGCTTATAGATAATTAGGTGTATCCCTACTGTTGCCTTTTTTTTTTTTAACAAAAAGGAGATAAACTTCTAAAACTATTGTAACATAATAATGCCTTCCAATTTTCATAGGGCTATTATAAAACGTCTTATCCTTTTCTGAAGAAGCCTTCCACTGTTGCCTCTTCTCAGAGCTCTCTTAATTATATAGTGCTGGGGTGTTTTCTTATGTGGTTTTTTTTTTCCCTCCATTCACCAAATTTCTAAATGGCATGTAGATGTTTGGAAAATATTTAAAAATATTTGTATGTTTAATGAGCAAAAATTTAGGAGAGCTCTAAGGGCTAAATGTTATGGAGGACAAGGACTGGTCAACACCTGTGTTTTAGAATAAGCTTATGTGTTAATGACACACAACTAGATATATTGTAGGCCTGCCTTAATGTATTTCTAACTTGTCAGAGTCATGGTTACCAATTTAGATGAACCATTGATTTATTCTACTGTGAAAATTTCTCTCGCTTTCAATAAAATTATAATGCTCAGACTGAGATCTGTAATTGCAGAGAAAAAATTAGGCTAAAGCATTTCTCTCCCCCCCCCCCCCCCCCCCCCCTGCTTTTTTGGCATTTAATACTTACTTGAATCTTGGATGTATGTCTGTTCTCTTAAACCAGACTCTAAAGGGAACCTGCTTGGCACCTTGGTGGAGCAGGCCTCTCTCAAACCTGTGGAGCTGGAGAAGCACCTGGTTTGGAGTCAAATGCAGCTCCTACTAAGAACTCTTGACCAGCATGTCCAGACCATGCCAGAGAGCAACATGCAGATAAACTTTGTGAAGGCCTTCTTTGACTACATCACTACACTGGCTGCTGTTGTGTTACGAAGCCTGAATGCAGAGCTAGGTAAGGGGATTCTGCTGGAAGGTCTGAGCCTAGGTGAAGATACCCTAACTGTGTAGTCTGGCCTGATTCTGGAAAGTAATTGTGCAAAAATGGTTCCTTGCCAAATGTGCCTACTCCCTGTGCATAGTCAGATCTCTTGATTGCACTGCTTTTTAAATTTTATTTCTTAAGGCCTTGGCCACCCACAGCTAAGATGAAAATAGCTGATGGCAGTAGGAAAACAAGAACAGAAATGTTGACTACTCACCCAGGTTCTGCGCTTCATTTAGACAAAACAAACAACCCCTGACCTCCAGAAGTTCTGATCACTACCCTGTAAGGCGAGATTGATTTTTTGCATCCAGTGGATCAACATGCTGTGCACTTTTCAGTTCCCTTAGAGGCAACCAGTGCCCTGCTGCTCCACGGAGATAAGAAGAGAGTGTGTAGAAGGCTATGCAGAGGTAACCAGGCAGAGTTTTTTCTTAGAATCAGCAGATAATGGTGGCCATGAAAAGAAATGCGCCATCAGCACATAAAGCTGTCAGAACAACAGAACAATTCAGTGTGCTAGGAGAAAAAACACTTGTCTGTTTTTTAAAGTTGATACTAATTGAGCTGCACTAATGTAAAATACCACAGTACTGATTTCAGAGAATACCTTCCCAAGAGGATAAGAAAAAAGAGCATAGATCTGTTTTCAGACATGCTGGTTCAGCTTGGGTCACCACCATGCCAACCATAACTGTTGTATGGACATGATTCAATCCTCACTGACTAACTGCCAAAGCCAAAAAAATGCATAATATTTAAAGGCTGAGTGAGTTTTGGGGAAACTTTACTGTACTGTGGAAGATAAAAGGAAAAGGTAAACTTATGAGAATCTGTTCAGAGTTACTTGATGTAACTCAGTAGTGGATACAAAGGCTTTTCAGCAATACTGGCCAGGGTTTCACTCCTTTTGTAAAAGTAGCTGTATGTCTGTGAGTTCCCTCTGCCTTTGCTCACTTTGACTTGAATAGAGCATGGACTCACTAATCTGCATCCAGAGATTCCTCAGAAACCAGTGCTGCACATTTTCTGTCTCTCACCTCAAATACATGTTTTGGTGAAAGTTTGAAGTAGAGTTGCTAAACTGTTTGAACCTAGGTCTCGCTTAAAGGCCAAACACTGTCCACTGTACCTGTTTTGGTAATAGGTCCAGTAAAATGTGAGCCAGTGGTGCCAAGTTTGAGAGGCATATCATAATCACAAATGCCTTGCAGTTTACTCTGGATTTTACTACACTAATGTGAATGCGGACCTCTGTGAATTTAGTCAAAGAGGTTTCAGACTCAGGCTCTTAAAATTTGTGTTCCTAAAATAAGACTTGGTTGGTGTATTCAGCTAATGTGTTTGTATTATAATAAAAGTTCTGATTTTTTTTTTTTTTAAAGATACATCTGCAGAAGTGAAAGTGGGGAACCCTTTCATACTGTTACAGCAGAGTCCATCTCAGCTGCTCTCACAGCTGGTGTTTGAGAGACAGGTTCATCCTGACAGGTTGGTGCTTTTCAGGTTATGTACTTCCCTAGGTTATTTTGGTGTTGGTGACTTTGGACTTCATCCAGGATTAAATTCTTCTCTGGCTACGTAGCACAGGTAGTACAGCCTGCTGTGTCCCACCAGCTGATCACTTAGTGCTGCAAGAATTGGTGTGCACAGAGGAGCTTAGTCAAGGACTTCTCTACCAACCTTAAGATTTTTGATAGGGAAAACTGTGGCTCCATATTTTTAACAATTACTGTCTGTTGTGAAGAGAGAGTGCATTTATGTGGATTTTTTTTTAACTGAATGTGTGACGGTTCAGAGCAGTGGACTTGCAGCTTAGCAGTACAATAAAATAAAATAGACCAGTAGGGCTTCTTAAGAATACAGCTGGGCATGGCTCTTGCCCTGGTCAGTAGGTAAACTGGTTAATCGAAGGTCCTTACATCACAAATTACTAAATTAGGCTGGCATGGAAAGTGTCTGATTTGATGAAGTGGCTCTTAAAAAGATGAGCACTAATGGTGAACTATTTTAGTATGTTGCATTTAGGTAAAAGTCAACGTTTGAGGAGTAAGATCCTTTTCTTTAAAGGAATGGCAGCATAAGCTCCGACTTACCGATGTCGTGCTGTATACGTCTTTTTCATTCTGAGTAAACACAGGATATGTACCCTTCCCCTGTATGTACCTGTGAAGAATATTAGGGGGCTTGTGTTCACAAAACATTTGGAAGATTTATGAAAATATGTAATTGTAAAGTACCTTTTCTATGTGTTGTGTAAGCTGGTTCTGTTTTCAATCCTGCAGGCTTTCTTCTCTCTTGGCTAAAGAAGAGTTGAACTTGAATGTGCAGCAAGTTATTGTTAACTGTTGCTGTGAACCACTGTGCTTGTGCAGTGCAAGGCAAATCAGCCAGGCAAAGTCTCTTCTGACACACATCAGCAACTTAGCACACCAGTGTGCCTACCACTGCCTGCCAGATGTTGAAATACCTATTCACAGTTCTGCAGTGACCTCTGAGGATATCTCCACTCAGGCCCCATCCTCTGTGAATGACTTGAGCCAGCACACACTCACTGCCTCCTCCCTGGACTTCCTAAAGTCTCAGTCGAAGCTAGTGGCCACAGTGGCATGTCTAAGTGCATCTAATATACAGAAGATCCCCAAATCGAGTTTATCTTGGATGGAATTTCGGGGCAAACGGGAGGTGCCCTTAGGTTCAGAACAGATTTCCAGGGAGGGTGAGGCATTGTTGAAGGAGTTCCCAATATTGGAACGATTTCTTCTTGCTATGTTTGAGCCACTTCAGAATCGGCGAGAGGAAGGTAGCAGTTTGGCTACTGTTTTCTCTGGCAAGACATACATATCTCTGGTTCTCCTGGGATTGCATTCCACTGCAGCTGTTAAGGTATTAATGGGAGTCTTTGAACAAGCTCTTGCTGCAAAGGATTGGGACAGAGCTCTGAAAGTCTTGGATCTGTACAGTCAGGATGTGGATGAGCTGGTCAATGTGAAGGATGCTGTGCTGAGCTGTGCGGCTGCTGAAGGTAAGAAGGATTAAGTCAGGCTTTTTTCCTTTCACCTTTTTTTTTTTTCATGAAGAATACAGCATGGATCAGGAGGTGGAAACTAAAGTAATAGTCCTTGGGCAAATCTAAAGACAGAAACAGTTCCTTTCCCTTCCTTCATCCTAAATTTGCTTTCTCTGATGGTGCAGTTTCTGTTTTGCAAATGTGCAAATCCTGACCAATTTAGTACAAGAGAAGGAATGCATCTGTGGTGTTATTTTTATATGAAGAGCTGAATATATCAGGAGACATTAATCATAGTACTGTTAATGGATCATCTCTTAGAGCAGTGTCATTGTCATACATGGATGATGTATCCTATTAAAGGAGGTGCCTTTTGGAGTCTAAAGATAGTAAGTATCCCATGCTAACTTTGGTTACTTCCCGAGAATCTGATGCTTGGAATGAGTCTCGCATAGATTTTTCAGTACTGTACTGTTTCTTTTGGTGATGCAGCCCAGTGAGGATGAGGATTTTAAAATTTTTCCAAAATATAGAAACCAAGTTTCAAACTAGTGGTTTGTTTCCTCCACAGATAAGGATGGTTGGCAATACTTGTTCCCAGTAAAAAATGCAACATTGAGAAGTAGGCTGGCCCTGCGCTGTCTGGACAAATGGCCCCTTGATGCCTGTTTGGAAATCCTAGCTTATTGCATTTCTGATTTGGGCATAACTGACGAACTAAAAGCCAGTCTGCAGAGCAGGAAGAAAGAACTTCAGGTTTATCAACAGGTACAAAGTCATTCTTCAAGTAACCAGTGAGATGAAATAGGCAGCAGGGAGCAAATATGCTTGCCCTTTGAAAAAGTTTTAGCCCTTGGTTCTTTTTTGATCATAACAGCTTTTCAAGTCTGTCATCCCAAACAGTTCATGTGCTTTCAGTGCTGTAGTATCCAATTAACACTCTGCCTCCATCCTTTGTAACTTTCCCACTCTCCTATTAGCATTCAGGCCTGCAAACATGATTAGACATAAACATATGTGTGAAGCTGCTTTTTTGCAAAGTAGTTGTTTTTTCCATTCTATACAAATGCTAGAGCCTCTGGAAGCTTTCCATGGCAATTCATTATTTTATAAGCTTGAGAGGTGCAGGGGTACCTAGGCATGGTGTACAAGACTAGTGGTCCAATAAATGTGTTTGTATTGCAGTCAGTTCTTCTAACTGCAGGGTAGTGTGGAACCCGAGTTAAGTTGGACTAGCTGGCCTGGAGTTCAGCACAGACTGAAAAGCCAAACAGAGCAAAAAAGGAGTCGTAAACCCCTCCTGAGCTCTGTCTGGTGGTGGTTCTGCTAACTGACAGTTAGCTCAGTTGTCTCTGTTAGTGCCAGCCATGTCTGCAGTATACATGTACTTTTTCAGCAATGTCTGCAGTATACATGTACTTTTTCATCCGTAATTATTGACATTTAGTCTTTTAAAAACCTTCCCTTATAAACGTGCTTTGTAGACTCATACCTCTGAGAAAATTGCATAGTCTTTTTAAGAGTGCAAGTGCATTAGAACGTCCCAGAAAAGGGCTAGAGATAAACGTGGGTCTCCTTTTTGACTTTTTTCTTTGTACAAAGCAGCTCTTGATGTGATCAGCTCAGCTGTTTTCTTAGACTTAATGACTGTTGTGGATAAAGCTTTTAAAATTTGTGCTACCCTAATATTAACTTTTTCAGATTTTGAATGTGCAAAATGAACCATTGTGGAATGACTGGCAGGATCTGAAAAAAACCTGCACTGATGACCCCCAGGCCGTCATGAATATAATTCTGAAAGCAAAGGTTAGGCATCATCATGTGAATTTTGTTGAATTAGAATGCATTAAACTTTGAATAGATAAATTTGTTGAAATAGCATCTTAAAACACTGATCAATGGAGATTACCTTGGGAGGAAGGATTCCCTTACTCAGTTCTGTGCTACAGAAACACACACAGATCTGTGTTTAATGTCAAGATTTACATGTAGTTAATAATCCTTAAGTTATAACTGTTACTCTGAGATACAACTTTTTCTTTTCTCTTAGAATTTTGAAGACTTGAATAGCATGGCTTTTGGCATAATACAGGCTTGATTATTGTATAAGTATTGATACTGTAGATCTGGCTGGCTTTAGAAGCGTCTCTCCAAAAAGCCAACTTGCTTACTGTGAGATAAGAAGGTTTTCTCAATGCAGGATGTGACTGACAAACTTGGCTATCAACTACTTCTCCTTGTCAATGTAATTATTTACTTTTTGCATGTGGGACATGAGTCTAAGCTACAGAATTTCTTGAAGTTAATCAGAACTCTGTGTATCGCAGAAGGTAGAGTTTGTCCTTCTTTTATTTTTTTATTTTTACTTTTTTTTTTTTAATTCTTTAGGATTATGAGTTGTGTGAGGAATGGGGGCACTTATATCCTGTCCCTAGAGAAGACTTGATCAACCTTCACCGTGAGCACCTTCTCCACTTACTGGAGGTGGGAGACATGGAAAAAGCATTGCAGGTAATAGCAAGACTCTTTCAGCCTTACATCCATAGGTCAAATAAGTTGAGAACTGTCATCTTTGCCACCTTCATGTCTGTTTCATGGCCTTTTTGGTTCTTCCCTTAAGAGATGCTATTTGCTTGGATATATCCTGGCTCTCCCCTGTTCTGCTTAAGTGAAAACCCAGCTTGGCAATTTAGTTGTTGACCTAATAGCATAAATGTCACTTACATGGAAATACAAGGCCCTTTTATTTGAAAAATCATAAGGAAGCATTTCTGTGCTGCTTAAGCAGAAGAACCAGAAGTTAAATTAGTAACAGGAATTGGTCAGTTGTGCTTCAGTGCCCAAATTAGTGAAGTGCAAATTCTTGTGGTTTTAATAATTGTGGAGCTGTTGCTAATAACAGCAAGTGTAAAATAAAGTGCAGGCTCTTTCAGACTACATAGCTTTGAAAATATTCTGGAAGCAAAGTGGACACTTCTGATCACTACACCTTCTTCTTACGCTACACCCATTCCTTGCTTAGTTTTTTGCTTACTTTAAATTTTAAAATATTTTTATTAATAAATGGAGCAAATAGGCAACGAGTGGTCTATAAATGGATTATCTAAGTCATCCTTATATATGCAAGACACTTGTGCAAGTTAATTTGCTTGCTGAACCATTGTAGCGCAATAATCTGTCATGGGCTGCCTGTTACAAAAAATACTTTCTGGGAATGTAGTAGGGATTCACTGTATTTTGTTTGGTTTTGTAGCTTTTACAAAGAATTGAAGACCCTGGTATTTGCCTTGCCATCAGTGAACAGTCCCTTGACCAGCATCCGAACTTGGCAGCCTCTCACTTCTTGGCTGATTACCTCACAACTCACTTCTACGCGAATCTGACAACAGCACGCCGTAGTGAAATCCAGGCACTCTATATGGGATCAAAGGTAAGTAAAACTCCTGCATTGTGGGATTAACGGTAATATATAATTATGTAAGTAATTTTATAATACATAATATATAAAGTCTGTAGGTTTTACCTGAGTATTCTCACCGTATTAGGTCTAAGATCCTGTGTCTCAGGATCCAAAGGAAAGTTAGAGAAGTTTTAAGCCATGTCTTCCCCTTCTCCGTCTTTGCAGTTCCTATATTATGAGGTGGTTGTAGCTCCCAATATGAACAGAGCAGTACTGTGTTTGAGCTGTAGGAAGTGGAGGAACACTCAGGCTAAAAGAGGGTGGGGGTGGAATAAAATAAAATTGTGGTGTTTATCAGGACAGTTGCAGTCTTTGTCCCAAGTGAAAAAGAAAGCATCCTCAGCTTACTCTCTGTGTCAGTAACACCAGGTGTCCCACATATGCCCACCTGTATGGTGGTCTTTGACACTTACATTGCATGTTTCTCCCAAATGCCTTCCAAAGGTAGACAGTATCACTCATTTTTGGATGGCCATTGCCTTTACAGAAGTCATACAGGTTCTGTGCTCTGCTTGGGAATAGATGCATTAACCAGTAGATTACCTTAGTCGGATGCATTATATGTAAACAAAATGCAGTGCTTTTGGTAATGTCTGTTGTGTTGTAGGACTACAAATAGCAGCTTGCTCCAGTGTGTACAACAGTATTTTGCTGGGCTTCCTGTTTCCTTACTTGTCCCTTTGGAAGACGTGATTTAATTTGGAAAGTGTCCGTATTAACTGTCCCTCTTTAGGAGAATTGCTCTTATTTTCTCCTCTCGATGTTCCCTCAAATGATGGAAGGATAAGGATTGGCTAATATTCTTTTTATAAGCTTACTTTAATAAGAGATTGTGCTCTACCCTGCTACAACATATTTGTCACAGGGTCACAAAATGCTTGCCACTCTTCAACTGCCTCTGAAAGGAGGGCAGTGTTTTATAGAACGGGGAAGTGGAAGCTAAGTAATTTCTGTAAATCCACTCAGTAATTCTGTAACAGAAGTAGGAATAGGTCTGAGAAGCCTACCTCCATTTTTTTTGGCCCCTATATGTTTGTTACTCCATTCTCTGCATAAGCTACCATGCTAGTTTCTTGTCTTTAATCTCACAGAAACACAGATTTGAAGGTGTATAATTTTAACATATGCTTTTTTTCTTGTGTCTCAGGTGCTGCTGACTCTGCCTGAGCTCTCCCGTGTTAACTACTTCCACCTCTCCTCCAGGCCACTGCTCATGCTGGAACAGCTCCTCATGAATATGAAGGTGGACTGGGTAGCTGTCACTGTGCAGACACTGCACCAACTCTTAGCTGGACAGGAAATTGGTTTTACTGTAGAAGACATTGACGATTTGCTCTCCAAGTATGCAGAAAAAGCTCTCAAATTCCCTTTCACATTAAAAGAAAAGAGATCAGGTGACTGACTGTGAGAATACTGTTTTTCACTTGGGAAAGAAGGACCAATTTCCCCCCAGAATCATTTCACCAATTGTGCCACAACATTTTTAGATGTGTGCCTCCAGTCTCCCTCTAGCCCAGAACATGTTCTTAAAGTCTTTGCCTTTCTTGTAAATAGATGTTCTCAAGGACCAACAGCGTCAAAAATTTCTGAGGCTTTCCTCTGTTGCTTCTTTTTGGGGTCTCCTCTTACATGATGTTGTTTGATTTTATTTCATTCCTGTTTAACACAAAGTCACTGACAACTTAAGCAGTTCTAAAACCTGCAGCCAACTGCATCTTCCCCCAAATAGAATGGGGATTTAATCTTCCATAGTCTTTCCTCCTACCAGAGTCCTGTTCCTTTTTTCATAGAAAAGACTTTTAAACTTGTAGTTCTACTTTAACATTCTCAGCACTGTTCTCTTTTCTGGTTTGCCAATCCTTTCTCATCCGTGTTGTCTTCGATTCTCCTACATTTGGCTCTCCACTTTCAGGGTTTTAGAACTGGAACAGCAGAGGGTGCTGCAGATCAAGTCCAGTGCTTTTGTTTCACTGTATGAAAAGCACATGGTGTGTGTACCTATTTGTATTTATTTATACCTACCAACTTGCTTTATGCCAGTTTCCAAAGGTTGACTTCATTTCATGATTTAAAGATGCAGCTCTAGCTAACATAAAAGCATCAGACTTATCTATCTTTTCTTGACGAATGACCTATAACTTTGCAAGTATGTTCCTTCCACTGCTATGTGGAGTATTCGCTATGAGCATCTTTGTCAACTAATTGTTTTCACATCTGATACTTATTCTCTCCTGTTTTATTACTGTGCCTATCAGTAGTCCATTGCTTTGATAAGGATCCCTTTCTCTGTGTTCTAGGTCATTGAATTTTACATAGTGTTGCATGAATTGTTGTGGGCTAATTTTTGTGAAAACATAGTAATTTGTAATTACACAGCTAGTCCTGTTTTGTGCTGACATTCTTACATGTTCCTGTGAATGGATTCCTCTAGTCTTCATAAAAACAGGTAGATGTATGGCCAGTATTGTTCTGATTTTTTTTTTTTCCTTCCCTTTGTCCTAGATTCTCTGATACGTATCCAAGAAAGTCTCAGTCAGGTATTGGAGTGTGAAGTACTGTCTAAATCGGGATCATCTGAACTATCTCCTGTCAGCTTTACTGGTATGGTTAAGACCTTGGTGTCATTTTCCTTCAACCTGTTCTTATTTGTTTTATCCCCTATGTATGTGTGTCCCACCACTTAGTAGTAACTTGGGTCGCATTCAATGGAGGTTAGTAGGTCTCTACAGTTGGGTGCTTTGGGCCCAATTAAAAGAAAACTTAAAGGAGAACAAGAAGTGTATGGCTTTGTTTTGATTTTTGGTAGGTATCTACAAAATGTCTGAAAAATCAGCACAAAACCTTTCCCTTCCAGACCCTACAGAAGAAAACAAGCCTGAACAGACCATAGAAAACAGGACTATATCTGCAGGAAAAAAAAAAAAAAACAAACCTACCTCTCTGCCACAGCTAGGTTGCTGGTGGATTAATGGTGCTGCAGGTTAATCTTTCTGTGTCTTGACTTCTGTACTCTCTCTCTGGGTATATAGGCAGAGCTTGTCTGGAAGCCCATTACTGTGGTACTTCTCCCTGTCTTCCTGTTCTTTGCTTAGTAACTTTTTTTTCTTCTGGATCTTAACTTCGGTTTTACAGTAGAAATCTCATTTGTGTTGTATTTTTTTCATCATTCTTTTGGTCCTTAAATTTATTTTTTTCTAGGATCCCTCTTGTGACCTGAGGGAAATAACACACCTTGTATTGTCTGAGAGGCTGCACTCAAACACAAATAAATAGAACTAAAATAACTTAAGCCGAAACAACTGAAGAATATTTATGGCTTGAAAACAACCACAAATCCTTCTGTAGGTTCCGTTCAGCATCTAATGCAAGAGATGCACTCTGTGGAGGATATATATTGTGAGAGATGCACAGTCTGTCCTCTCAGGGAATGACTAGCAAAGGATATCCTCAGACCTCCAAGGCTGGTGATTCTCAGCAAGTGATGGGCCTGAACTAGAGCTGCACAGTGATATCCTGACCTACAGTTTAGGGTGTCTGAACTGTTCTCTGGTTCTGTATCCTGAACTGAAGACTCTTCTTGCGCTGCCTGCATGAAGTGACAGCAGCGTCTTGGATTGTGCTGTGTAGCTCTTCAGTTTTTCTCATGATGGTCAGCTTAATATCTGTATGTTGTTACAAAACTTGAATGCATTGTCCTTTAATGTTCCTTTGCAACAAGCTGGTATTCACTTGGATGAGCATGAGTTAGCTTTACTGGAATGGAGATTTTTTTTTTTTCCTGTTTTAGTTTAGTATTCACGTACACAGAAGGTGGCTTGCAGGGCTGCAATGACATGTTGAACTTTTTAATTAGCCTGTAGTGTAACTGGCTCACATCATATAAACTAAAAGCCTGTCTAATACTGTAAACTTGATTCAATGAGTATTTCATTGGCAAGGTCAAAGATCATGAAGGCCAAAGACTTAAATTCCTGCCTCTTTGAACTGATTTCCCCACAGTAGATTGTAAAGAGGACCAGAACAGGGAGGGATATGCTGTTGCTAGCCATACCACACCTCTCCTGAGATTAACAAAGAAAAGTCTCAATCTTCAGGAATGTCAGCACTGGGTATCCTTAAGACTATATTTTTTGCTATATCACTTTTTGGTATCCATAGACCAGGGAATTTTTTGATTCCTTCTCTAAGTCTCTCCTTACGATACAAGAACAGATGTTGACAAGTTGTCTCATACTTCTATAATTGTTATGGTAAAGGTTTATTAATAAGTATGTAATCTTGCTTATCAGTATTGAAGTACTGTAAGTTTACAGTCTTACAATTTTAGCTTGAAGCATATATGTTCCTTACACAATGTTATTGTGCCATGCCTAGTTGAAAGATAATGGTAGTCGTCTTGTGAGCCAGAAAGATCTTATAGCCTCAGTAAGTCCGTCGTGTTTTCTGGTATTCAAGACTCCATTAAATGGCTTAAATCCTGTTCTAAGTTTTTCTTGGACTGGTTCTTTTTAAGGTGTCACCCTATCTGCAAGTTCCAGAGACAGAAGTCTGCAGCAGAATTTGTTTCCTCAAGAATTTGTGCCTCCCGAGAAGCCACCACCAAAGCAGCAATGGATACCTGATGACACTGAAACGATATGTATGGTTTGCAAAACTGAACGGTTTACTATGGTAAGGAGCAAAACCAAAGTACAGACATTCCTAGAACTGTGACCTTAATATGAACACTTGCTTATAGTCTGTTTCCCAAGAGACACTAGCTACTTTAGCAAGTTTGTCTGCATCAGTGTAGGCCTGACAAGATTGCCAGTCCTTTGATATTTAACCATTAGTTTCTACTTAGTGTAGTTGAGGAGACTGGCAACAATTAGCTCCTTGCAGAGTCCTGTGAAGTGATAAGAGCCTGAAGAGGAAATCTGGTCATCAGAGAGGAGACAACTATAAGATCTCAAAGATGTGTAATGATAGTATTAATATTTCAGAAGGCTGTCTAGTTGACTGTGCTGGCAAGAAATAACACAAGCATCATTGTCATGGTTTAGCCCCAGCCAGGAACTAAGCACCACGCAGCCGCTCGCTCACTCCCCCTACCCCGATGGGATGGGGGAGAGAATTGGAGGAGTAAGAGTGAGAAACACTCCTGGGCTGAGATAAGAACCAGGACAATCATGTAATTCAGATTACCTATATAGAAAACGTAATCTTTGCTGTTGATTACACTTTTCTAAAACCTGTTGTTTCATAGAGTACTTGAGCAACTGCATTGGTGCTCTAAGGGAGAAGATTAATTTTGAGTTTTGCAGGTGTGCTGGCAGTCTGCTATCTTCTATTGCTTAGAAACAGTACCGTTTTCTCAAAGTATCTGTTGCTCTTGAATTTGGAAATTACTAAGATGGTGTCAGAAAGACAGTCTACAGCTGCTGACTCTTCCAAGAGATGATCTAATTAGTGCTGTGATCAAAATTGGGATAATTTAAATAGTGGAAAGCCCAAGATTGCAGCAAACATTTTAAACACCTGCCTTTGGGTTTTGTTTTTTGTTTTGTTTTTTTTTTTCCTTTGCTATGCCCTCTCCAGACAGGAATTGTAACAGTGAGGATCAATCATTATAGTTCTGAAAAGCCTTATCATGCATGGTGTTTCCTCTCTTCAGATGGAGGAAATTTACTCATGAGTGCAGGCAGATGTAGGAGGGGACTTCAGTAAATTCTTTCTGTTGGTCATCCATGACCTCTTTTGCTTAGTTTAACAGGCGCCATCACTGCAGGCGCTGTGGCAGGCTGGTGTGCAGCACTTGCTCCACCAAGAAAATGGCAGTAGAAGCTTGCAGAGAAAATCTGTCTCGTGTATGTGATCAGTGCTATAGCTACTGCAACAGAGAACATCTGCCTGACTTGGTACAAGACACAAGCATGTAAGTCCTTCCATTCTATTTCTCCTCAATTTCATGTACACAGCAAAGTACTTGAATGGAATGAGAGAGAAATAAGCATTTGGGTTTATGCAGATAATGTAACAACATCAGCTTTTTGGCCTCCAGCTGTTGGGATTTTCAGGCTTGATAGGTGTGGGGATGTTCCTTATGCCTCAGTTTACTTTTCACATTAGAAGGAGCACTGGAGAGCCAGGCCACAAAGTCATTAATCCTTTAAGCATCGATTGATCATTAAACCTAAGAATTTAATGCTCTGATGCAAAACTTATTCAGCACAAACTACTACAGTGTGACAAAGTTTCTTGCAGTTTACTTGGCTCCTGGATAAATATCACATGTTGACTAGCTCTGCTGAACATATCAGTGTTTCAGTGTTACTCCATAATCCTTTCATTACAACTCCTTGAACCCTTGGGGATTCAAAAGCAAGTTCATGATTAGATAGGCTTTGAAACTGTCCTTAATAAAGGGGACAGCTGTGATGACAAATTTTCATGATGTGGTTGCTTAAAGCTGAGAATTGGACTGAAATCTGTTGTGTGTATGTTAGGCTAGCTGGTGAAGAGTGCAGCTGAAAAGAGTGAGTTTTACACTCTGACCCTGTCAAGCCTGCTGATAGCAGTATCGGCTATGGCAGTATCAGCAGGCTTGTTAGGAAAAGAGGAATACTGTGCATATCTGAAAAGGAACCTCTGAAAAAACAAGCAGTCACCTCTAGCTAAACCAGTTTGCGTCAGAATGGTTGCTTACACTGCCAGATTAGGTCAGCAGAGCCTAGCAGTGAGCTTGCATGCCATCTGTCATGTTTTAATTGCTTAAGTGTCTGGGGTTTTTTTAATACTCACCCTATTTGTATATCAAAACCAACTGAATCTTAAGGACAGAGACCTGGATGCCAGAAACTTCGTTTTAATTCTGACGTATTTTGATACCGGCCAGTTCTTGTTCTCAGTGTCTGCTTTTTTATGATGTGTGCAACAGTCCTATTCCTACAGAAGGTTTTAAGAACTAATTACTTAGTGTAGTTGAAATACAACAATGCAGAGGCAGGATCTTAGATTTCCAGACAGTTGCAGGTAGGGCAAGACAATGGGTCGGATAGATTTTTACAAGACAGTGTTCCGAAAAGGCTAGCCATATTGATCTCCTTTTAAAAACTGTTTTCCCCAGTGTGCTGGAGTAGGCATGATGTTTTTTTCTGTCATTTTATTACAGCAGAAAAGAAGATCAGGACCAAGTGGAAGGTAAGGAATGGAGCAATGTTAAACTTCAGTTTTTTTAAAGTGCCTGATTAGCAGCAGAGTTAGAGACAGGAAGCTGATACATCTAGTTGCAGCTGAAGGCTGATGGAAACTTCAGTTACAAAATACCACTGATGGTTTTTGCATGTGCAGGCTGAAATTGAGCATTCCAAACTTCTGTGAATAGGAATTGAGATTTAGGAGAGATGTCTGAGCCAATATTGAATGTACTGGATGGGGATTAAAGGAAGGAACTGAAAAACAACAGTTGGAGAATGCACTTTGCATACTAGAAACAGTGAGAAGCTGTGGTCTGAGTAAGAATTAATTAGCCCAGTACAGAGCTGTGGTGAGTGATCCTCTTTTTACAAACCGTGGTAGTACAATTCTGAATACCACTGCAGTGTGATGTGGTGTTTGATATCCTGTGCTGGCTGGGGGTAGCACAGTATGAGGCCCCTCTCATGGGTCTGGTTGTGTCCTGAGTTCCGTCTCTTTTGCTGGTTGTGTGAATATGGACTAGTAATTTCTCTTCAGTGACTCAATTTCCACATCTAATATCATAACACTTCAGGAATAATAATACAATTCAGTTGAATTTTTCTTCTCTCTGTCGTTTTTCCTCAGAAGGTATTTACTATTTGTTGCTTAATCTGGTGTTTGAGGTGATTCTGCAAAATTTTTCGACACTGACGTGAAATTCTGGCAGACCAAAACATAGTTATTTGAAGTGCTTATAGCAGTAATGTGAAACATGGTGCAAAATTTGCATTTGTGCTACAAAACAAATGAGAATATTTTTCCTTACTTGTCCCTTTTTAAGTATGATGGCCTATTTGAGCATTTTTTGTGTGTGTTGACAGAAGTTTGCTTTACTACTACCTTTGTTACAAGACTGAAGCAGCTGAAATGCAGTTTCTGAGCTGCTGCTTCTGGTTAGATCTTTCTCTTTGCCTCCAGCATTGCTACACATCACTGGGCCCATATGATTCATTCAGTAGGAGTTAATAAGAACAGTATGGAAATCCTCAGATTTAAGAGGGAAAGTGTTTTATTCTGCTTTTCTAACTTATCTGATGAGACTGTGAAGAAGGCTCAAATGTTTTCAAGCCTGGTTTATTCTAATTATTCCAGTTTCCACTTAGAAATAGTGGTTTTAGTTTTGTGGGGTTTTTTGTTTGGTTTTTTTTTTTTTTTAAATTCACCCTACAGGTTTAGAGTTACTCAACACTCTTAACAGTCCTTTTGTGAAATCTAGAACACTGAATTTTGAGACTTTTTTTTTTTTAATTTTAAGTTTTTCCAGGGAGAAGAGGAAGTTGATCAGGAGAAAGAGTAGCAAATTAGCGTTATTCTCCATTTCTTAGCATTGTGAGATTGGAGATTGTTTTTCTGCCAGGAACGACAATCATGAACTTGAGCATCAGAAGGCTGCACTCAGATGACAGACAGTATTTGATTTGTAGCTATTCTGTATTACTAATTTCAAAACAGAAATTTCCTTTATCTGAAGGAATGAAAAAGACTTTTCATAGAAATGACACTTCTTGAATAATTTGATCAAAACTCCAATTTTCTGCAGTACTATTTTGTATGAAAACTTAACATAAGGAGTTAGCTTGCCTTCTCATAATCTTTTGTCTTAAAGCCTGCTGTACTGTAACCGTGAGAGTAAATTTAGGTACAGTTTGGCAGCCTGCTGAGAAATGGAAATGTTTCTGTAATCTGTGTGCTGGACATGCGATACTGGCAGGAAGTGGTACAATGAGATGATTACAGATGACTCTTTTACAAGAGATTTAAGAATACTCTGCATTATGTGTCCTTAGCCAGGTTTGTTGCTTCTTGTACAATGATTCTACCTGGTGTTTTCTTTTTGGCTGCAGAAACTTCTAATAATGAATATTCCACAGTGGTGCGGATACCCAAGGCAACTGAGCTTGAATGGATTTTTTCCTTGAATGAAGAGGAGAATGAACTTGTACGCAGTGAATTTTATTACGAACAGGTGAGGTCTGGAGAAAGAGTCCAATATAAGCAGTTCCCTGGAGAACTACCTCAATACCCGTGTTTGTCTGTCTTTTCTTGAATTATCAGGCTCCCAGCTCTTCCTTGTGTATTGCCATTCTTAGCCTGCACAGTGACAGCATAGTGTGTGGCCACCAACTGATCGAGCACTGCTGCAAGTTGTCCCAAGGGCTCACTAATCCTGAGGTGGATGCCGGTCTCCTTATGGACATCATGAAGCAATTGCTCTTCAGTGCCAAAATGATGTTTGTAAAAGCTGGAAGGAGCCAGGATCTAGCTCTCTGTGACAGGTGATTTACCAGCTGTTCACTAGTATGTATGGAGGTATTGTCAAGACCATTATCCTTTTTTACTGGGGAGTGGAGGGTGGGAGGGTTGTTTTGTGATTGTACTGTGGACATTTTAAACAAGAAGAGAAGTTCGTAATGTAAGAATAATGTAAGAGTTCAAATAGTAGAAATTCAAGTAATATGACTGCGTAATAATTACTGAAAAAATTCTCAGAGTAGGGAGAAATAATTCACAAAGACTGAGGTAAATCTTCTACTTCTGATATTGTGTATCTGCTTTCAATCTATATGTCAATACAGCATTTTAAACTTGCACTTCCTGAGAATGAGCATTTTACACTTTTCTCAAATTTTGTCCTACAGAGCTTGAGGTGGCAGGTGTAATATATATAAATTTCACACGTACTATTTGGATTTGGTAACATATAGCTGGTGTCTGCAGTCAGTGTCTGTTGGTGTTCCACTGAACGTGGAAAAAAACACAATAAAAAATAATCTGAATAGGAAAGTATGATGGATAGAGAAACCTGATATACTGGTGGTTAGGAACCACTGTTCAAAGAGTTGTCTTTGTCATAAAGTTCTTTAAGTGTATGATAATAGTGAAAGTGTATGTATTTGTTTAACCTCTTTGTTTTCTCCTAGCTACATCAGCAAAGTGGATGTGTTGAATATTTTGGTTGCCGCTGCCTACCGTCCAATACCATCTTTGGATCAGATTCTTCTCCCTGCAGCAGTAACGAGATTAAGAAATCGGCTTCTGGAAGCAGAGTACTATCAACTAGCTATAGAGGTAATGACAATGGAGGGATGTCAATGTTAAAAATGCTTTTGTTTTTCTCCCTCCTGAGTTCAGATGGATGTGATGTGTGAAATGGACAATATTTAAACAGTTACAAACTGGGATTAAGTTTTTAAACAAGAAATCATTTTCTGAACACTGGGAAAAAGATTTCTGAGAAGGAAAAGTCCTTCTACTGTGGAGCAGGCTGCTGAAGGGAAGGGTAGGGGCCTTGTTTAAAATTGGAATGGACTAACTGCAAGGAAGTCATTAAATGGAGAAATCTTCCATCCAGTAGAACGGCTGAGACATCCTTTGTGGCAGGACTTTATCTGAGGCTTGTATGTTTGATTTTCATTTGTCTGTAATGCCACAGCAGATACTAGTAAGGCACCTTTCCCAAGTATTTATTTGGAAATCAGCAATGTGGCAAACCTATCTAGCAGAGCTCATCTGGTGTTGTTTATATTCTGTCCTCCTCCTGCTCACAGGATTTTGTAAGCCTCTGTTTATGGCATTGCAGTTTGTTAGGAAAAGGATTATGATACTACAAACAGATTTAGGAGCTTTAAGGGGTAATAAACAGCAGGCATAGG